TCCCATCACAGACAACTTTAATCTCAGGTGATTGACAAAAGTGTGAAAGTTCCTGGAAAAATAATTTGTGATCTAGAGGTCAAGAAGTATTATGATTAAAGCTAATGACTGTAATTTAGCATTTTTAACCTTCGTGTAATAAAAAAGCATTTATTTTTCTGAATTTTGATTAGCAATAGTTTTTAAAAAACATTTGAGATTGACTGATTTTTATAGTACACTGAATAGTTTGAACATTATTTTACTCTTCTGGTGAATACATTCCTTCAATTTTTATATATTTTTTTAAAATTCCAAATACAGTTTCACAAAGCAAAAACATGTGATTGAATTGGAAACAAAAGATCAATTGTTTTTGTTTAAACTGGTGCATATCATTACAGCCAGAAGCCTGCCATGTAAATTAAATAACTTTTTATTTTGTCATAAGTATCGAAAACTAAATGAAAAGTGCTTGTCAAAGACTGCGCTGAATAAGGAATTTGGATTGTTAAACATGCTTTTACAACCAACTATTAACTATTATCATCATAATGTCCATAACCATTATGTCGTAATGTTGTTTCTCTTTCTCTTTTCTACAAATACTATCATGGGCACTGCTCTAAAGAGCTAGCCTTTCTTGTGCCATCTACTAAAATTCATTTTTGTGTTACTCATCATTCAATTAAGTCTCATCCTTTTTCTGTGACTGTTCCTAAGTGCTCCAAAAAATCTTATTTGTCTAGTTTTTCTCTTTAAACATCAGTTCTTTGGAGTTTGCTTCCTTCATCTTGCTTTCCTAATTCATATAATTTGAAATCTTTTAAGTTGTCTGTCTATCATTATCTAGCTCTATAAAATTCATCTTTTTTGTTCTGGAACTTTAAGAATGAGTTGGTTTTGCTGATTGTCAAAGTAAATAATTTTTAAACCAACTCTTTGTTTCTTTAGAAAATTATATATTGTATTTGCTGTTCGATTGTAAACAACTAATTCAGTAATCAAACTCATTTCACTAAATTCATTTTCCCTATTTATTTTGTGTCATATTCTTTAGCAAAATGAACATGTGCCTGATTTAGGTAAGCCAAAATTTTAATGGGATATGGGTTGCTTTTCTGCATACAATTTGTAAACATTTTTTAATGCTTTTAAGCTCTGACAGCAGATAAACCCATCTTTATTTTCTTTTTTTGGATTTATGTGTTTAAAGAAATATTTAGCATTATACTAAACATAATTTTTACCGACTTTTATTTGACCTATTCCTCATTATTTTAAAATCAAATTCAGAGTTTAATATAAATTCATCTTAGTCACATATTTTTTTTAGAACTTCAAAAAAAAATGTCAATGTCTTTTATTTCAGAACATTTTTTGTGTTCATGTTTGCAATAGTGTTTTGATGTTTAAGTCCATGCTTAAAATAAACAAAATCTGTTGTGTAAACTAAAATTGTATACACAATCTTTGATTAAAATTATTTTGATTAAAATAGCTTTGATTAAAATTATTTTGTTTGTTTCTGTTTTTTTCCACTTTTTTAGATTTTAAGGTGGTAAAATAAAACTACAGTCTTGGAAAAAAGTTTAAGACCTCCGCTTATAAATGCAATACTTGCCTAAAATAAAATTGAGCATGTATAAGTTTTTATTTGGCAATCATAGCTAGTTAACACAATTTCCCAATTATTATTAAATAATCAAAAAAAAATTCTTTATTTTTTGTACTGTAATAATTTTTTCATTAAATTTCTTAAACTTTTTTCCAAGACTGTATATAATTATAATGTACAGTTGTTAATAAGTCACAAAAACTTTTTTCTTTTCTTTTTTTATACATAAATACATATATATATATATATATATATATATATATATATATATATATATATATATATATATATATATATATATATATATATATATATATATATATCCATACATACATACATACATACAACCATATATACATACATACATACAACCATATATACATACATACACATAACCATACATGCATGCATACATACATACATACATACATACATACATACATACATACATACATACATACATACATACATACATACATACATACATACATACATACATACTTACATACATACATAAACACACATAACCATACATGCATACATACATACATACATACATACATACATACTTTTCTGTCTAGTATACGTTCAATGTTTATACTTCTCTATCAATGTATACGTTGTCGCAACCTTCTATTGTTAATAGATGGCCACTATTTTTAATGGAGGATATTTTGTTGCATTTGTTGTGTTTGCGCCTGAGTTGGTTGTATTTTTTGCTCTGTTTGATAAGTATAAATGCTGCTATTTTTTTATTCTGCATTCACTTTTGATGATTTTTTTTTTTGAGTCCTAGGGCAACTCTCAGTGATTCAAAAGCTTTCTTTATCTTGTTTTTTTCTTAGTTCTGGATCTTCTGAATCACATTCTTTGATTCTAGTTACAGTTACGTTATGTTCAATTTTTTCTCTTTTGTTCAGTTCTCGAGTGACTTGTACAAGTATGGCTTTATTACCATCTGTCATCTTTGTGCGGTTTGAGTTTTTTGGTTTTCGTAAGAGTTTAATTCAATAAAGGTTGCTGTTTTGAAGTTATCTCTTCCAATCTTATCAGTAATCATATTATGTATTTATTATTAGTTGCTTTTGTGATGGATGTGGCGGGTTTTTTTTAAACTTAATCTAACATACATACATAAATTTATACCTATATACATATATATATATACATACACATTTATACATAAATATGTATATATATATATATATATATATATATATATATATATATATATATATATATATATATATATATATATATATATATATATATATATATATATATATATATATATATATATATATTAGGGTGGTTCTAAAAACAACTTTTTTTTAAAATGACTGCTGGCACCCCCTGAATATGTTGTGTATAATAAAAAATGCTGGATTTAAAAAATTTTTGAATAAAGAATATTTTAAGGGATTGCTACTAAACATTAAATAGGTCCCTAATATTATCAGAAAAAAAAGTTTTTCAAAAATGTGTCATGTTGGGTCTCAAATGCAAAAGTTTCAAAAATAATATTCATTTTATAAAAAAACTTTGATAATTAAAATAAAAATTATAACCAAAAAATCTTGTTAAATTCCCTATATTTTGTTTTTAGTTAAAAAACATAATTTTCTGTGGCCTGAAATAGAAAATAAAAATTTTATTATAAAATGATTAATATTTTATAAATTTTTATGTAATTTCACACAAGTATTAGCGAAGAGAACATCAGAGTCATTAAACATTGCAGAAAGTCTGTTTTAACAACCAAACATGAAAGAAAAACTTAGCACAGGACTGCTTTGATGTCACAATGGGTTGTTTTGACTGGTTGGCTTATATATATTAGACTCACTTTCTAAAATAATAAATAAAGAAGATGTTGGACTATATCGTGACGATGGTTTGATGGTACTTTGAAAAAAACTGGATCACAAATTGATAGCCTACAAAAATATATAATTAAAGTTATAAAAATGAATGGTTTTAAAATAGAGATCCAAACAAACCTACCCACAGTCAACTTTTTAGATGTCTCCTTTAACTTAAAAAAAAATCCTACCAACCTTTTAAAAAATCAAATGAATATCTACATTACATTGATTCCAACCATCCTCCGCAAATAATAAAGCAAATCCCTATCTCTATCAACGACAGATTATTACAAATTTCCTCAAATGAAAAATTATTTAATTTATCTATACCAGAATACAAAGATGAATTAAGAAGAAATGGCTTCTATGGTTTTAATTTAAAGTATAATCCCCAAAAAAGAGAAAAATAGAAAAGAAAAAGAAATATAATATGGTTCAACCCCCCCGTATAGTAAAAGCGTTTCTACTAATGTTGGACATATCTTCCTAAACTTAATCAGCAAACATTCTCCAACATCCCACCCCCTAAGTAAACTATTCAATCGAAACACCATCAAAGTTATAGAGTTACAGTTGCACCAAAAATATCGAAAGAATTATTAAGAGCCACAGCAAGAAAATCAGTTCAAAAAGACCAAAAGAATAGCCGCCCTGCAATTGCATAAATAAAGAAAACTGCCCTATAATAGGAAAATGTAGTGCCTCAAATGTTATTTATAAATGTATATTATCCCCCCCCCCCCCTAATACTCCAGAAAAAGTATAGGCTAAGTATAGGCTAATGCCTAGCAGAAGGTGAATGGAAGAAAAGATGGGCTAACCACAAGCACTTATTCACAAACAAAAAGATGAAAAATTCAACCACCCTTTCAAAATATATATGGCAGATAAAAGAAAACTTAAAAATAACACCCAAATTAACTTGGTCAATAATTAAACAAGTCCCAGCCTACACCAATGTACTAAAAAAATGCTTGCTTTGCCTTCATGAAAAACTTTGCATAATATCATGCAAAGGTATGCAAGAATTATTAAATAAAAAAACAGAAATAATATTTAAATGCCGTCATGAAAACAAGTTCTTGCTTGACAACCACGAGCCCAAAGATTAAAAAACCAAACCAAATAGTAACATTTTATAATTGTTACTATTTTGCAAATATTTTACTAGATTGCAAATAGTAACATTTTATAATTGTTTTTGAACATCATGATGTTTATTAAGAGTATTTTTTTTAACAAAAAAAATAATGTATTTTTATCTGATGATTGCTAAACGCATGAAACTTTTAGTAGTAAAATTTATGTAGTTATTTTTTATTTAATCTCGTCAAAAAATCAATTATATATATATATATATATATATATATATATATATATATATATATATATATATATATATATATATATATATATATATATATATATATATATATATATATATATATATATATATATATATATATATATATACATATATATATATATATATGATAATTTAAATAATTAACTACTTTATAGTTATTTAATTTTTTTAGAATTTATATATTGGAAGTAAAGGGCGCATATTTCCTTATACTATTAACTGGTTTCCAAGTTTGTACCTAGCAAAGTATATAAAAGTAATACCTGAATCTTGGAAGAATAATTGTTGTATGCGTGTTCATGTTAGAGGATGTACAAAACGTAAGTTGTATTTCTTTGAGTATACATGTGTAGAAAAGAAAGTATTTATCAATAAAGACAGTTGTACTAAAAATTACTTATACATTTTTATTCTAAAGGAGTTGTCAAGTACAGAGACAAGCTGTGTTCATATTTTGAATGAAGCTTAGAGTTTATTAAGCTTACCAAAACAAATTATTTATTGAGGAAATGAAAAAAAAATTTCTTATTTTTTAAGCCCTTTTTTTTTTGGCGTAAATCTTTTTATCTTATAGATTTTCTCTTTTTAAAAAAATCTGGTCTGACCAATGTGTTTGTATTTGATGTCAATAAAAGTATGTATTGTTGTAAAAGTTAAATTTTAATTCTTTGGTTTTTCCTTATAATAATTTTAAAGAAAAACTTGTTTTTTCAAAAACTTCAGTTATAACTTCTTAAGTTAATTTTTACAAAGTTCGAATTAAAAACTATAAACACTTGTACAAAACTTAATTCTGATTAGTAATATGCAAAAAGTTGAGTTATTCTTAATAAATGGAATTAAGCCAAAAAGTACCCAAAAATAAAAATATCATTAACAGAAAACTTGTTTTTTGCATGTATAAATATTTCTGTAAAATATTAAATTTTGTGCCATACAGCAAAGTCATATTTTTTTGCTCTAAGTGTACCTATCTTCTTTAAAAATGGTTCTAGTTTTATTTCTTAAACATCAATGTCGTGGAATTCTCTCCTTTTTTTTTTCTGACTCATAAATTTATCTTATTTTCTTTTTTTTTAATATACCTTTTTTTTTAAAAAAAAATTAGCTTTGGATGCTCCTGCTCAATTAAAGATAATTGAAGGAAACAAAAAGTTAGTATTAAGTTGGAAGAAACCAGATTCTCCAGTTCCAGTTCTAAAATATAAAGTAACTTTTTTATTTTAATTCATTCAATAAAAGATCAAATGTTTACATAATAATTACAAAATGTATTCAATAACTAAATTTTTTTATTTTTAAAATTTTATTTGTTTTTTTTTTAAATCAGATAAATGTCCAATCACTGAAGCCATACAACAGCTCATTCTTTTTTTTCAATACAATGGAAACAAATATTACAAACATTACCATTGAAGTTGACTTTCATGCAGCCATCTTCAATATGTCTGTAGATGTTGTGTATGATGAAGATTATTCTGTTAAAATGGAAAGTATACCGCATTATTCCAAACCAATTCGTAGGTTTTTTTTATTTGTTTACCTTCATACTTTTTTAAATATGTTAATAATTTGTAATATTAAATTATTCTGTGGATTGTAACAATGTTTTAACTAAAATTTATTTTTATTCTAGCACCTCCAACACCAACTCATAAAGTGTTAAAATACTTTGATAACTACACTGAAGTATTTGAATGTCAGTTTTATAGTGTATCTGATATCAATGGACCTGTCAGGTTTTCGTTTTATGTTATATGTTAGATATATAGAATTTTTCCATATTTGTTATATTTTTTATATAAAGAAACCATAATTTCTATATATAAAGAAACAACCTAGAAGTTGTAAAAAGTTTGTTACTATAATTGATGATGATTTTTTTAATATTTATAGTTTTTATGAGATAATAATTGCATATGAGAAAATATCTTCACTGAATATGGAAACATTGACTTTAAAAGATCAATTCACTGCTGAATCACTAAACCTTTCTTATTTTTTGGCTGCAACATTTCCTTCAGATAACTTCGCTTCCAGCTCTTTAAAATTTTATGAAGGTTTAGAAACAGTGGAGAATTTGAATGCTAGGCTCTCTACACTTAGAAAATTTTTTCTTTATATTCGTGCTGTCATTAACATGAAGGTTTTTGTTGCATTATGTTATTGTATTAAATTTTCAAACTCGTTGTTTTATGCCTTTAATTTTATATGTTATGTAGAATTTTGAGTTTGAGTTTTATTTTTGTAATTTTTTACTTGTTTTGTTTGAAAATATTTAATTCCTAAGTTTAATTTTTTATATGATTACTTTTAGGATAATTTGTTTAGCAACTTAACATATTATGGTAATACCTCAATGTTGACTATAGGTAAAGACCACATTTTTTTCAACTAATAATAAACAAAGATATTTGGTATAAATTTTAATATTTTCTTTATTTCACTGACATTTATTAGATCGCAAAACACTACCTATAAATAATTTAAAATTCGATAAACGTCATGGTCATATCATTGCTTTAGTGAAAGGACCTTCAAATACAAAGTAAACATTGTTTTTCAAGTTTTATTTTAATAATTTTTCATATAGATTAGTTTTTTAACATTCAATTTGAAGGATTTATGAAGTTGTTGCAATGAAAATTAACATGAGTACAATCATTAAAAATGTTACATCTACTTATAAACATTTTAAAGTTTATGAAACTGCAGATTATAATGAACCTTACATTGCTGCTTCATTTAATGCTTCTATGTATGAAAAATACAAATATTTTGTTTTAGGTAAGTCTTTAGTTTTATTTTATGCTTATTTTTTATATAAACATCATTAAACACATAAAGTTTATTTTTTTACTGATTGTTTTTTAATGGATTATTATTATATAGTGCTGTTTAATTTAAAATCTACATAACATTAGTTACTATAGGGCATTATTTCTAAACAATTTCATTGGTTGTTGGAAATTAAAAAAATAAAAAAACTGAGGCATCTATTCACATCATCTTGTTCTAAGGAGAGAAATTGTCAACAATAAAATATTTATTAAAGCTACCTCTACTTGTGATATAGTTATTTTTGTATGCATGATATATTAAAAGTCATTGATGTCATTTTAATATGATAAATGTAATTCATAACAATATCACTTTTGTCTTTTGTGGATTTCATGTCCTTTGTAAAGTTAAGATTTTTTTCATTGTTTATTGAATACAATTTTTGAAGGTGATCCTTCTACACATTAACAATATTATTATCACTGGTAGTACCTCCAACACTAACAATATAATTTACTGCTTTATTTTTATTGATCTTACACACATTGTTCCAGGATTTTTTTTAACTGTGTTTTGCTGCTTTTTTGCACATAATTCAGCCTGAATTTGTTTATTATAATGTTTGCAATATCTAAGAGCTAATTTAAAATTAGCAAGAGAATGCTTGATATTTTCAAAAATATCACCTTGTTTTATCTTCCCTCAAACAATCCAAGGCTTAAATATATACCTTGCAATGTCATGGTTATCTTTAGCATAGTCATACTAACATGGAGTGATAGTTTCATAATTTTTATGTTTAGGATAACAATGAGGTATTGTTTCAAATTGTATACTAATTATGAGACTGTTAAAATATAAATCAATATCACAAGTTCAATTATATTATTTTTATATATATATATTTTTCTTCATAGCAAGCTAAAGTGACACAGTTTAGCCAGCTTAGAGTTTTAGATGACATATTCAAATTAGGCTCGCTGTTATTTTTTTCAGATGTGTTGCTGTTAAACAAGAAATAGAAAACACTAATGGTTTGTGGTCTGATGCAATAACATCTTTTAAACTGATAATGTTATCATCAAATTATCAATATTTGGACTGCATAAAATGTGTTCCAATCAAAATAGATAAGATCCAACATCACTGTTAAATGTAAATATTAAGACTGTTTTTTTCAGGTTTAATAAATTTTGTTTTCTAATGCAAAATAAGAAAATTTTTTTTATAAAATCCAGACCCATTATAGCAGTTAAAATGACAAGCAATAACTGTGTTTAAAGTGTCATTTTCCACTTTAACTGATTTTATTTTTGAACATTTATTATTTATAAATCTTTCAAAATAAAATGAACATTGTTATAATTTGTTGCAAATTATAAGCAAAACTATCTTTACCACAGGTCTTGCAATTGTTCAACGTACCAGAAAGGCTGATTAAAGACACTTTTTTTCAGCAAAATCACAAAATAATTAATTTAATTATTTACTGCTCAATTACAAAAAATAAATTTATTCCTTTATACTGATTGCAGTTTTAATACATTTTGCGCAGGTTTTTTTCAAAATTAAAGTTAACTTTAAAAATGTTCTCTCTACTAATTAATTTTTGTTTTATAGTTGTGGTATTATACATAATTTATATTTTTTTGTAATCTATCGCTGAATAATCACTAATATATACTAATTAATCAAAATTTACGTTATGAAAAATTAATTAATGATTAAGAGATATATTTGTATAGTAAATATATCAATATAGATGTATACATTTATATTGTAAATATATTATTATTTTTAAATGATTTTAAAATCTTCAAACGATTGTTCACAATAAACATTTAAGAAATCTTACATGTTTATTGTAAACAGTTGTTTACTTTAAACTATTGTAAACATTTAGTTATTGTGAACAAAAACTGTATTTCACGCAGTTCAGTTAGATCAATGTATCAAACTCATTTATTCAATGTTTAATTACTAGAAATTTTCTTGTGAAAAAAATTCTCTAACACAATAAATAGGACCTATTCAATTTTTTTTTTTTTTCTATTATTTTCTTTAGTATTCTCTTATTATTTTATTTTGCGTTATGGATTTTATATCCATGCAAATCAGTTTCCTTTTTGCAATATTTTTTGATTATTTTGCAAAATTGTGAGACACCTCTACATTGAGTAAACAGGTCTTTGTGGTTATCAACTCCATAAAACTCTTAGACTTATATCCAGAAGTTTATTGTTAGAAAAAGTTATTGGTTAAAGTTTAAACTAAGAGCAATCGGATTGCTCTTAGTTTAAACTTTTATATATTTATTTAAATAGGATTATCCTATTTTTAGTTATAAATTTCAACTCAATTTAAAGTACCACTAAAACAATAGTTACTGTACTTAAGGTTTAAATTTTTTTAAATTTCTTTTTCAAAATTTCCCAAGAAAACAGCCGAATTACCAGGTCCCCAGGTCCGAACCAGGTACCTGGCATATCACAAAATTAGACAAAATAATGTTATTAGAGAGTTTAATGACTGCTCAGCTTCACCAAATTGAAATTTAATCTTTTAAGTTTTTTCGATAATCCAATTTTTTTATTTATATTCTTCCATAATAAGATATAATCTTATAATAAAAAATGTTCAATTTAGTTCTCCAAAATTTATTAGGAATGGTATTGAAAAGAGTAAAATTAAAGATACAGTTTAAAGTTTTTTGCTTTCAAGGTCAATTTTGTTAAAGATTGTACATTAGGTAGTTAAAAATCATTTCTTAAACATAGGTATGATAAATATAATGCTATTATATGATAAATATAGATACAGTCAAATGATAAATATAGATACAGTCATATACTTAAAGGCTCAAACAATATCTGTTAAGTACAAAGGTGGTACTTTTCATTGCAAATAATTCTTCTTGTAGAACTTATTTTTTTGTTTATTTTAATATTGTTTAAAAAATAAATTGCTTCAGATAAAGTAAAAAATTTTTCTATTACCTTTATTCAGTTCTGTGAAAGTATAATATCATTTATTATATATATATATATCCATTACCCTTATTCAGTTCTGTGAAAGTATAATATCATTTATTATTTATATATATATATATATATATATATATATATATATATATATATATATATATATATATATATATATATATATATATATATATATATATAATATATATATATATATATATATATAATACATAAAGCATCAGGTTGACAAAGAACATAATAATTTATTTTGTTAAAAATTGTTTCAAATAGTTATACAAAGATATTTCAACTCTTAATTGTTGGAGCCATTTTTTAATCTGAGACATTAGAAGTCACTCCATTGCAAAGATTAACTAATTTTTAGTTTGATTTTAAATTAGTTGCATTAGGTAGGCTTCTCAATTTTTTTCAAAAATTATGTTGGTTTCTTTTCATATGTGCAAACACACCTTTGCCATACCCATGTTTTGATTGTCAAAATATTGTATCTCTAAAGATTCCTGGATAGCTCCTTTAAATTATTTTCTGGTTTTAGCGTAGAGTTATTTTTTTACAAACAAGAGGTACAAAGTTTAAATTCCATCACTTCAGATGCATGAAGTACAGAGTTTCGGAGTTATATGGTTGACAGAGGCAATGTCTTTTTGTCTTTTGTGTCATGATTGCTTTATCTAACATTTGATAGAAATTTTATATTTCTATATATTTATTTTTTCAAATTTCTAGTAAGCAGTATATACTATATATATATATATATATATATATATATATATATATATATATATATATATATATATATATATATATATATATATATATATATATATGTATATTTATAAGCAGTATATACTATATATATATATATATATATATATATATATATATATATATATATATATATATATATATATATTGCTAATAATATTTAAAAGAAATACTATGAACATTCATAATTAACAATTTTTTTTCTATAATTATATTTTTTTTAAATGGGGTATTCTATATCAAAGTTCTCACATGTAGATGTTTACTTTCTAAATTTTTATATTTTCTCTGTATCATTAAGCTTTCACAGCTTATTATAATGAGGTTGAAAATAAGGTCAAATTCTTATCTGTGTCATTCAGTTATATTTTATGTAAATTAATTTATTTACTCATATGTTTAACCTTTTTTTTTTTTTTTTTTTTTTTTAACATCTTCACTTCCAACAAGGCTGCAAGCAACCACTATAAGAGTTGGAAGTTACTGGAAGAGAAAAGACTAAATCTGAAGAGCAAGATAACGATTGACTGATGACTTAAAAGATTGCAAATTGTATGAATCAGGAAAGCAAGATGAAGGAAGCGAATTCCAAAGAACTGATGTTCGAGGAAAAAACTAGAAGAATAAGAGTTTTTGAAGCACTTAGGAACAGTCACAGAAAAAGAATGAGACTTAATTGAATGGCGAGTAACACGAGAATGAATTTTAGTAGATGGCACAAGGGACGCTAGCTCTTTAAAGCAGTGCCCATTATAGTATTTGTAGAAAAGAGAAAGAGAAGCAACATTACGAAGATGTGACAAAGGTTGGAGATTGGCTGTTAGAGCAGGTCCAACTATGTTTACAATTCGTTTTTGCACCTTGTCTAAAAGAGAAAGAGCATCATTAGAAGATCCGCCCCAGATGTGGCAACAGTATTCCATACAGGGACAGATTTGAGATTTGTAGAGATAGAGAATAGAATCTGGAGTAAGAAAGTGTCGAGCTTGATAAAGAGATGCAACCTTAGCAGATGCTAATTTTGCAATGGATTTGATATACGGTTTAAAAGAAAGATCAGAAGTAAGAGTTAATCCTAGAAGATGAATGGTAGATGACTCATCTAGTACATTACCATTCATAAATATAGGAAGATCTAAATTATTACGATAACGATTGGCCAAATAAAATTTAGTTTTATCTGAATTAAAGTTCACCAGCCACTGTGAGCCCCATGCTGTAGCAGAAGTGAGATCCTTTTCAAGCTCAGATACCCCCTCCAAGCAATCAGAGAGTGTAGGCTTCTTATCATGACAAGAGTAAATGGTAGTGTCGTCAGCGAATAATGCCACTTTAGATGTGAGAATATCTGGAAGATCGTTAATGTAAATTAAAAAGAGTATAGGGCCAAGGATTGAACCTTGAGGAACCCCTGAAGTTACAGGATGTGAAGAAGAGTGTTGACCATCGAGGACAACTTTTATACTACGATTAAAAAGAAAGGACTCAATAATCTTAAAGACGTTACCAGCTACACCATAAGAAGAAAGCTTATGGAGAAGACCAGCATGCCAAACTTTATCAAAAGCTTTAGAAATGTCAAGTGCGATAGCCTTAACCTCTCCACCTCTATCTAATGCACGGTAAAACCTATCGGTTATTACTGTTAGCACATCAGCTGTAGAACGAGAAGACCGAAATCCATATTGATGATCAGAAAGTAAGTTATTTGATTCAAGATGAGAGATTAGGTGTTTGTTGATTAAAGATTCAAAAACCTTGCTTATGACAGGAAGAAGACTGATGGGACGGTAGTTAGATGAATCAGATCGCTCTCCGGAATTTTTGAAAATAGGGATAACAGATGCTGCTTTCCAGCATGATGGAAAACAAGACTCTGATAAGTAATAACTCTGTTAAATAGTTTAGAAAGTATGGATGAAAGCTCCGGAGAACACCTCTGCAAGACTACAACAGGAATGTTGTCAGGACCACAAGCTGTTGAAGAGTCTAAGCAGGAAATTACTTTAGATACAGAAGCTGAAGTGATGCGAATGTCAAGCAAGGGATCAACCTGTTTGACGGCTATGTCAGGTAAAACGCAACTAGTGGAATCAAGAGATGATATTGATGAAAAGTTCTTAGCAAACAATTCAGCTTTGTCTTTAGGTGAGGTGACAAAGTCTGAACCATACAAGAGAGAAGGAATAACAGATTTGCCCTTATTATTGATACTGTTAAAGATTCTCCAGAAGTCTCGAGAGCCTAATTTTTGTGATGAGATACGAGATTTAATGACCTGGGAATAGCGAGCTTTGGCGTCAGACAAAACCTTTTTACAATGGTTTCTGGCGATAGTGAACAGATGTCTGTTTTCTGGAGAATTGTTTTGCTGATAGATATGGAAGTAACGGTTTCGATTAGAAATTGCTGCAGCGCAATGTGAGGAAAACCAAGGAGAAGAGTGAGGCTTGACCTGGAATCGTCGAGAGGGAATAAAAGATTCCATGCCAGCCTGAATCCACGAAGTTATGTAAGAAGCACATTTATCAGCAGGAAGACGAAAGATTTCTACCCAAGGGCTATCACGAAGAAAATCACGGAAAGAGTCCCAGTCAGCTTTAAGGTAGTTGTATGTGGTACGATGATAGGGGGATTCTGATGAAGTAGAAGAATTTGATAATAGTTTTAGAGAGATCAAACCGTGATCAGAAGTACCTAAGGGTGAATGTGGAGAAATTGAGCACTGACTAGGATCCAAAACAAGACATAAGTCGAGTAGAGAAGGTAAATGATTAGGATTGTCTGGAAAACGAGTTGGAAAGTTGACTATTTGAGTTAGAGATTGAGAAAGGCAAAAGTTGAGGGCCTTAACGCCAGCAGAGTCACTGACACTAGAGCCAAGCCAATCGGTGTGATGGGCATTAAAGTCACCAACAACGACGATATTGGCCGATGGATAAAGAGAGAGGGCTTGGTCAATTTGATCAGAAATAACATCAAGAATAGTGCAATCTCGGGATGAAGGAGAGCGATATAGAACAAAGAGAAAGGCGATAGAGTGAAGTTGTGCTAAACGAAAGCACATAAATGAATAGTCTGTAGATTCAAACCTAGTTTCACGACAAATGGGTGAGTTCTTACGAATGTAGATGCCCAGGCCAAGCATGTGATTATTGGAGTCTTTACGAATTAAAGGAAGATAACCATCAACACTAAGATCACAAGATGGGACAGCCGAACTCAAATTAGTCTCACAAAGAGCAAGTAGGACTGGTGAACTTTGCAAGAGATAAGACTCAACAGAAGAAAAGTTACTTCGAAGACCACGAATATTAGTAAATGATAGGTTTAGAGAACTTGGTGATGATGATGGTTTTTTGTGTTTTTTAGTTTTAGGTACTTTAGTCATTTTAAATTTATAAAGAACTTGACTCAAGTATAGATAGTACTCAGTACACTATTTAACAACTAAGCAATAGCCTCATTACTATTAATAAACCCTAAGCCGTTACAAAGGGCTCCAAATGTGGCCTCTGCAATGCACACCAAAAGTACAAACAGGGACACCATCCATGCGCAACATGGCACTGTTAGTACTCTGATATTTTTCGGCTGTTGATGGAATCAGCCTCTCTGAGAGCTACCACAGAGTTCGGGAAACCTGACTACCAGCCGGCCTCAGAACCATAAAACTGAGTTTTAGAGCTGTACCCTTATTAGGAGATAATAGAATGAGTTGCCCAGTCATAAAAATAGAGACACAAGTAATACCCACGCATTGAGTCAAGAAGATACAGCGTTCAACATCCTAAACTGAAAACAATGTATTAAAAATACATCTGCGCCAGCCTAATAGATGAGGAAGGGGTGCGAGGCTGGTCAACAGATAGAATCTGTTTACCCCTTAAGTCTTTGCCTAGGAGGCCTTCTACAAGACAGCAGCTGGATGCATGTAACATCTGCCCAAGATGAGTATTTTTATCGAGACACCATCTCTAGCCTTTACTCAACCAAGAGCCCCAAGGCAGGGAGTGTTTTAATTCGGAGTTAACTTCTCTTAGTCTTTGCCTAAAAAAGCGTATCCTACAAGGCAGCAGGACATGGAGCAGGTTGTACTGGGTTACATGTTACCAGTAGCAGGAAAACCTGACCTGACCTTTATAACCTGATTAAAGTCAAGTAGATTGCAATATTTATCTAACATGAATATTTTTGTGTTTTAGGCAACAATGAGAAGTTTGAAGGTTATCAAGTTGGTAATGTTCGAAACAATACTAATCATTATTTAAATGGTAAACTGATTCCTGGTCAAACATATACAATGTTTCAAAGAATTATTCTAGATGATGTAATTTTTAAATACTTATAATATAAGTAGTAGTGAAATTATTTATTCTCTTATTTCTAAACTAATTGCTAAATAAACACTAAGTTTTAAAGGAGTTATTGTCTCCTAAATAGTGCAGTTTTATTTAATTATAATGAGTTGACTGTTATATGCCATCTTTCAATTTTTATGAGTTGACTATTGTAATCTTTTTTTAATCAGTGAAATACTGTTTTCTCTTTTTTTATATTTGGTAAAAATTGTTAAAAGAAAAAGTATGCAAATTTTTTTATTAACATTGTTTTAGGGTAGCATATACACAAGTCCATGGCTACATGAGTTTATGGGTAAATTAAAATTATTATTTCTTGTGTTGACTATCTGTAAAAAATTGTAATTATTACCTTTTTATACTTTAACTTAGAAATTATAGTTAATAAATTTATATTTGATTAATATTAACTAATTTAATATTTTTTTATAATAAATCCTAAAGATTTTAAGTATATATAATTCATATAAATATATATAGTTTCATACAAACTTAAATATAATATATTTAAAAAAACTTGATTAAGCAATACATATATAAAACAATTTATTATTAACCAATGTAATGATTTAGTTATTCAGAATTCTTCAAAAAAAGAAATGTATTAAATGAATATCAAGTGCTTGAAAAATAATATTATTATGAAAACTGCGCAATTTTATAACAATCTTTTACATTTTGATTTACAAAATTTTGATTCCCAAACCAAAGAGAGTTTTGGTTCACTATAATAAGTTTTATTTTTTTTTTTTTTTTTATGATTTGGATAAGTTTTATTAATTTTTTTTTTAGCTACATCCAAGTTGACTTCTTCAATTGAAAAATCATCAACACACTCATATCTTTTTGGATTAATTGTGATACCTGTTTTATTTTGTGGTTTGATTGCATTTTTAAAAATGTAAGTTATATAAATTACATCACAAAGGTATTTTAAAAAAACAACTAATATTGTATTTCTTTACAAAAATAAGACTTTTGATATAAAAAATATTTTTGATACAGTCCAAAAATTATGTGTTAACATTTTAATTAATAATGCATTGAGAATTTTTTTTTTTTTTTAAGCTTTAGGAGCTTTTGTAGTGTTGTGTTGTACTTTTCAAACTTTTTTTTTATTTCAAAAAGGTAATGGCACCAAGGTAATGGCTCCACTTTTATAGGAATTTCAGGATGGTGTTTAATATATGTTGTATTAGTCTTTGTTCAAATTGCAGTTTCTCTTGATACAAACTTATGTATGAGAGTTAAGAGCATTTTTTGCTTTGTTTGCTGCTATAATGTGCCATTAAGCATATTTGAGATACTTAGAGATTTGAGTTTTATATTCTCTTACAGATTTGGTGATTTCTAGAATTACTCTGTTGACTGTGTTATCTAATTGGATTTTTTTTTGTAAAGTAATTATTTTTCATTAGTCTAGTTTTGAAATTCATGAATTAGTATTATTTTACATTTATCTACATCCTTTTAATGCTCTAATTTATATCAGGATGAAAAATCCTGATATAAATTAGTAAATGGAGTATCCTTTTTTTCTTTACATTTACTGAATTTCAAGTTTTAACGAATAGTTTAAACTTTTTGTTTAAGTAGTACACTTCAATACTTGAGGTATAGAAATGTTTATAATGTTGTGTGACATTTCATGAACTTAGATAGGAGTCGATGTTCTGTTGAAATCATTGTTCTTGTTGGATAATGTGATCTCTTTAATTTTGTGGATCCTTAATGATACTGTAATAACACTGGCTATAGAGTTATTTTAATTTTGTTCTTTGTTAATAATATTAGAATATTCAAATTCATTAGAACATATTTATGAAACACATTGTGTTTTTGTTTTTTTTTTAATTATTTTTTACAGGAGAAATAAATTTAGTAAAGATAAATTAGTGCAGTCTAAAGTAATCCATAATAGAAATAATGAAGATGTGATGCAATATCAGGGTAAAATTTATTGTAGTATCTTGGTTGCATTAAAGATTTTTTCCTGTTTGGTAAATGAAACAGCTTTTTTATGGTAAACAAAACAAAGCTTTATTTTGGTGATTTTTTCTTTGTAGAGTTGTCTTTAAAATGCAATAATCCCTACACTACCTTACAAACTGTTCAGAAATGGCCGCCAGTGTCTGTTAATGCTTTTGCTGCTTATTACTTAAATGTAAAAAAAAATGATTATAAAGATCTTATGACACAATATGAAAGTGTTTCTAAAAACAAAATATATCCACATACTGAAGCTACAAAATATCCACATAAAAACAGATATGCAAACATTGTCCCATATGATCACTCACTAGTCAAATTAGTTTCAGATTTCACTAATGAAAATACTTATATTAATGCAAATTATATACCCTCCTACTCCAAAAAAGTAACTTACATTGCAACCCAGGCTCCTAAGAATGAAACTATTGTTGACTTTTGGCGAATGATATTTCAGGAAAAGCCTAAAGCTGTTATTATGCTTACTAATCTAGTTGAAAATGATAAAATAAAATCTGCTCAATATTGGCCAGAAAGTAATGAAGAATATGGCAGCCTTAATGTTTGCGTTATAAAAACAGAAAACTTTGCTGATTATATTATTCGTTATATTTCTTTAAATTTCAAAGAAGTAAACCATCATTTTATTCATATGCAGTTTACATCTTGGCTTGATAATGGTTGTCCCGAATACCCAACAATGTTACTATACTTTTGTCATCGATTTCGTTGTTTAGTGCCATATTCAGATAAATCTCTCACTGTTGTGCACTGCAGTGCTGGAGTTGGTCGCACAGGTGTTTTCATTTTACTTGATGAAATGTTGCAGTTAATTAAATCAGAACAAAAAGTTGATATTTTCAATTATTTTGAAACTATTCGTCAAAACAGAATGCAAATGGTTCAATCAAAAGAGCAATACATATTTGTTTATGATGCAATTTATGAAGCAGTAACATGTGGTCAAACTGGTATTTCAATATCAAATTTTCCAACAACTCTTAACAATCTACTCATGAAAGATTTTTCCTCTGGAAAAAAACTTATTGAGGATGAATTTAAAATTCTTAAAAGCATTTCTCCAGTTCGAGAAAGTTGTTCTGAGACAGCAATGAAGGCTGAAAATTTGGGGAAAAATCAATACTCTCAAATTTTGCCTGGTAAGTAAGAATTTGTTTTTTTTGTTTTTGTTTTTTGTTTTTTTGATTTTTACATAGTTAAGTATAGCAATTTATATAAAACAAAATGGCCACTGAATATCAGCTCAGTTTTGATATTTATTAATTATTTTAGTATTGTAAACTATTATTACAAATATAAAAAAAAACTATTGTTAAAAATATTTTCTATTTATTTTATATTGACTAGTAACTACTAATATAATGAATATGTGTAAACATACCAGCTCATGTTCCTGGCAGATGATGTGTTTACACACCTCCTGTATTACATCATGCTGATGAACCCTAAATTGCAAAACATATTCATGATTGTAATAAGCACTGATTTGGTTAGACAATGATACACTGTATTATTATTGTAGACCAATCATTGTGCTAGTATTTATTAACTGAACTATGTGTATGCAGTATTGTGGTTGATACATTTTTTCTTATATTTTGATGATTTTTTTACAGTTCTGTGTAAAATTGTAGCACAACAAGTAAAATTGTAGCACAACAGTACATGTGAAATATATTCTAAAAAAAGAGTGCTCAATGTTCTTAAACAGATCAGTAAAAAATTAATAAATAATTTTCTAATTTGAACTTCTACTGTCAGTTATTTAAATATCTGTCTAAATTTCAAAAAATTTAATTTTTAGGACAAAAATTTCACACAGTTCTAAGTTGTTATAATTATTTATTTATTTTTATTTTTTTTTTTTTTTTTTTTTTTTTTTTTTTTTTTTTTTTTTTTTTTTTTTTGTAAACAGGAAGTTACATTAACAGAATTTTTGTAAAAATTAAAAAGATTTCATTAGAATATGGATAATTATAGTTTTGTCATTTGTTCATATAACTTTTTAAGAGGTACTAATTTTCATGTCTGCATTCAGAAATTTATTCTAATTTATTATTTAATAAATATTTTTTATCTAAATAGGTGATAATTTAAAAATTTTCTTGCAAACATATTTTATGGAATTATTATTAAAGGCAGGAGCAGTTTTTAAAAGATCAAATTAATTAAAAATTATTTTTTGTTTGTGGTTGGCATACTTTTTTTTTCAATCATCCTTGAACTGCACTATTTAGAATATATAAGATATGAATATAAAAGTTACTAGATACTGCTATCATTCAGTTATTAAGTTTAGTTTCAAATTATTTCTGGTTTCTCTGGCTAGTTGTAAGTACAATTTTTTATTTTAAGAGATTTGTAAATTATTATATTTCTATCGGACTTAAATTTGAATATATTCAGATTATATACAATATTGCTACTATTAAGCTAATGTCTATTTTTTTTTTGTCTTAACTGGTCCTGACCTCAAATTGTTTTTAAATTTTTTACAATTTTAAGTATTTTTTTATCTTTAAGAAATGATTTTCATAAAAAAAAGTATACCAAAAATTGTAATTGCAAGCAAAAAATTGACTGTACTATGAATAGCAAATGCTTATCAAAAAAATATTATTTTCAAATGCATTGTTTCCTCACAAAACAATCTTGATAAACAATATACTGGCTTAACTGAAGGCGAATGGAAAAAATGTATTTCCAAATACAAATAATCTTTTAAGCATAAAAAATACTTAAAACAGACTGTCAAAATATATTTGGCAACTAAAAGATAAAAATATTAGTTTTAAATTAAACTGGTCTACCCAAAAAAAAACTGTATCTGCCTATAATAACATTTCTAAAAAATGTATACTGTGTTTACAAAAAAAATTTGAAATTATTACTCATTTGGATCAAGAAAGTTTAAGTTAATTTCTAAATGCTGACATGAAAATAAGTACCTTTAAAAAAATTATAAAAACAAATAACCAACTAAACTTATCCTAATTCTAAAGAATTCTTTTCATGATTAATTTTTTATATTGAATGTAGTTGATGCAACTTTCTGGTTACAAAATAACTATTACATAATTTGCAAAATAACAGTTATTACATAATTAAACTAATTCCCAACTTCCTGTGAATTATTTTTTCTATTATTTGAATTTTTTGATGTTTAGACATTCTTCCTGATGAACCTACTGATGATGAAATAAGTTGTTGAATATATATAAGCGTAAATTGGGGCACAATGGATCAAATTTCTTTAATTTTTAAATTGAGCAAAAGTTAAAATATGTATTTTTTTTTTCAAAGCAAAAGGATTGTGATATATGTCAGAAAGGGTTTTCCTTCATTAATTGTGAATTAATGAACACAGCTGTGAATTAATGATAGTGAATAATGGCATAGCCAAATAACTTTGAGGCTGAGGAAGTAAAGACACTGTACACTATACTTTTGGCATAATTATATTAAATAAACTAGTATAAAATCGAGAAAATAGACATTTTAAAAATTGAGAAGAAAAAAAAAAGGAATTTTATTGATAAAAAAATTTATGAAACTTATTCAAATATTATTATTCATTACTTGAAACAAATAAATTCATTTTCATGTAGTTTGTTTGTTAAAAATTTTTATCTTTGTTTGTAATAAAATTTTATCTTTAAGATCATTAATGGGGCATAGTGAATCAACCGGTTCACTGTACCCCCGATTTACTGTGCCCTGCCCAAACAAATTAAGTTTAAGCTTAATTTCTTGCGACATAAGTGTTATTAAAGGAAAAGCTAAACTACTAAAAGGAAGCATAAATATCAGTAATCCAAATGAAAAACTTCAACTTTTAAAATTATTTTGACCATGATCTCCATTACAAAAATACGAAAAATAAGAAAATTTACTTTAGTCAGCTAAAAACAAAAAATACCTATAAAAAAACAGTTGAAAAAATTATGTGTTAACAACTATAAAAAAAGATTGCTGATTTATGAGCACATAAAATGATTACATTGTCAAGATGAACAAAATTCTAATCTTTGAGAAAATGTCTCTTATTCACTGCGCCCCTCAATCCACTCTATACCAAGTTCACCTATATATAATATATATATATATATATATATATATATATATATATATATATATATATATATATATATATATATATATATATAGATAGATATAGATATAGATATATATATATATATAGGCAAATTAATTACTGTTTTACAAAAATCTATTATAAAATTCATTACAAAGGGTTAAAAAGACCATTAATTTTTTACTAAGGATCAATATAAGCAAATCTATCCAACAGGATCACAACCAACACATATATATGGCCTACCGAAAATGCATTAAAAAATTTAAAAAAAACTCCTAATATCAGACCAATTATTTGTTCAATTAATGCCTATAATTACAAACTAGCTAAATTCTTAAATACTTTAATCAAATCGTGTATTGAACTAAAGCATTCACCAAAAGATTCCTTTACTTTTATTGAAGAATTAAAATTACACAATTTAAGTAATAATTATTTAATCTCTTTTAATGTTGAAAGTTTCTTCACTAATATTCCATTAGAAGAGACCATTGAATGATATGAAAAGACCATTGAATTAGCGGTTTCTAAAATATTAAATAAATATCTGGAACTTAAAATTTCTAATGCTAATTTAAAAAAATTAATTAGGTTTTGTCATTTTTTGTTTCGTGGTAAATATTATGGTCAAATTGATGGTGTAACTACGGGGTCTCCACTTGCTCCTGTTTTAGCCAATTTATTCATGGGGAACTTAGAAAGTAATTATTTAAATGAATTTAACATTTAAACCTTTATTTAATAAAACGTGTAGATGATATTTTTTCATCATTTTATTCAAAAAGCCGATAGTACTATTTTTCTAGAGTACTTAAATTCTAAACATCCTAATATCAAATTTACATGTGAACATGAACAAAATGGTATTTTACCATTTTTAGATGTTTGCATTGAAAATAACCATGATTTGATCACTAATATTTACCATAAGGAGACATATACTAATCTTTTGACAAATATTTTTAGCTTTAACTTGGGCTACAAACATGGGCTAGTTAAAACTCTTATTGACCTTTGTTTTAAAATTATTAATACCTGGTTTGATTATCATAATGATAATATTAACCTAAAAACAGTCTTATTAAAAAATCAGTATCCAATTAAACTTATTGATAAATGCTTAAACAACTATTTAAATAAAAAATTTGTTACATCTAAATTCAACAATAACAAATGCCTTAATTATAAATATTTTAGGTTGCCATATATAGGTGATGGTTCTAGAAATATTCAAAACAAAATTAATGAATTAACTAAAAAGTTATGTAAAAAAGGTTTACTTAACAAACTATCGTTTTCTAATTTTAAAATTAAGCAATACTTTTCACTTAAAGACTTACTTCCAAGAAATAGTAAATCAAACATTGTTTACAAATTTAATTGTGCTAGCGTTAATGTTTGCTATATAGGAAGAACTGTCCGAAACATTTTTTACAACGCATTTATGAACATTTTAAGAAAGATAAAAAATCTAACATTTAATGAAAAACATTGTGTCAAAAGAAAAGCCTCTTTCGATTGCTTTTCTATTTTGGATTCTGCTCAAAGCGAGTATGAATTGGAAATAAAGGAAAGCTTGCATATAAAGTGACAAAGGCCCTGTTTAATATAACAAATAAATAAATATATATATATATATATATATATATATATATATATATATATATATATATATATATATATATATATATATATATATATATATGTATATATATATATATATATATATATATATACATAAATACATAAATATATATATATTCAAATTAGTAAAAACACTTATCTAATTTTTGTCTTTAACAACTTGTTTCACCATCAGTAGGTTCAACAGGATCTTTCTGATGAATCTATTCTTGGTAAAACAAGTTAACTTTTTACAGAACAAGAAATTAAAACTTGCTTGTGCAGCAACTATAAAAAGGTTTTTGAGATAATATGAGAAGGCATAATGTATAGGACTCGATATCACTATTATTTATTTAGGCTAGAATTCACTTGTCACTACAAGTTCATAGCTGATGCAGATTGGGATCATATTTAAGATCAGTTCTAAGCAATTCAAAACTTTTGTTAAAAAGCAATTAAAAAGTCTAAAAGGCTTTTATATGTTTTCAAAAGTATATAAATGTACATACACATAAACAAAATATTTATATTTAGAGCAAGCATAATAAAAAATTCAAAAAATGTTTTCTTTTAACATTTTGGTTTTAATAGAATCTTTGTCTACTACTCATAAACTATTTAATCATTTCTAATTGATATTCTAAGATTTAATTTAAAAACTTAATGATAATGTAAAAACTTTTGTTAAAAAGCAATTTCAAAATTAAAACAATCATTTTTTTATAAATTGATTACATTTTTTACTAAAAAAATTCTTTTAAATAATTTGCTTACATGCTTGATTTGGTTTATTCGGGATTGCATTTATATGTAGTTATTACTACATTAAGCAATTTCGTATATTAGTACATTTATAACAGGATGAAAACAATTTATTGACTTAAAAAATATTAACACAATTAAAAACACATAATAAAAAAAGAAACTATAAACAAACAAAATAGTTAAATGTAAAACGAACATAAAAAAACTTTTAAATATGATTTAAAAAAATTTACTTTAACATGTTTAAAAGTTTTTAAAGTTACAAAAAAAAGTTGTAAAACAATTAAAAAGCATTTATAGTCATTCTCAATGTAAAAAAAATTTAATTCAATAAAATAAATTTAAATTTAATATTATATAATAATATTTAATAATAAATTTAATTTAAACATAATAAAATAAACTTCAATTAAAATTTAAAAAATAAAAAAAATGCAGACAAAAATTTATTTCATTATCTGTTTTTTTATCTTAAAAAAAATGATTTCAAAAGTAAAAATGTTTTTTATAACAATGAATTATTGCTTAATGTTTTTCACATAAGCTATTTCAAAAGACAGTTTAAATAATCTAATTGAAAAAGGTTTTGGCATAATATAAATGGTTTTGTGATAAATGAAAAATGTTATCAGGGTTCGAAATAATTAAAAAGTAGACAATCAAATAATTTTTCCCACAATAATTGATTGAAAATTTCATTTGAACAGAATTTAGATTTTTAAAAAAGGCTAACAAATAATTAAAACCCCTAAAACTATGCAATATTTCTTTGTTTTTAGCAGCCGTGGCGCAGTGGTAGATTGCTCGTCTCAGAAACAAGAAAGAGCGCCCCTCCCCCTACTTTATTTAGTGTGGACCTTCTTTTTTTTTTTAAAGAAATTGACAATTTTTATAAGAAATCTAGGAACTTTTTCCAAAATGAGGTAGTGTGGCCCCACTTTGAAAACCATGTTGTCGTCACAGCGTAAAACTTCATGGGAATAAAGTTTAGTTAAAAATCATCTGTTGGTTAAAAGGTCATTGGTTTAAATGTTTATTTATTGTAAATGATCATTTAGCAAAAACCTTATTTAAAAACGACTTACGCAAAGTATTAAACTTTCATTCATTTTTTGCAATTAAAGTTGCAAAAAATGAATGAAATCTTTCTCTTGCATTCTTAGCAATAAAAAGAAGTAATTACTTACTGGTAGTTGATAAAAAGAAGTAATTACTTACTGAAGTTACTGGAAGAGAAAAGATAAAGATTGTAGAGCAAGATAGACAGATGACTTAAAAGATTGCAAATTATATGAATCAGGAAGGCAAGATGAAGGAAGCAAATTTCAAAGAACTGATGTTCGAGGAAAAAAAACTAAACAAATAAGAGTTTTTGGAGCACATAGGAACAATAACAGAAAAAGGATGAGACTTAATTGAATGACGAGTAACACGAGAATGAATTTTAATAGGTGACACAAGAGACGCTAGCTCTTTAGAGCAGTGCCCATTATAGTATTTGTAGAAAATAGAAAGAGAAGCAACATTACGATGATATGACAGAGGCTGAAGGTTGGCTGCAAAAGCAGGTCCAACTATGTTTACAATGCGTTTTTGCACCTTGTCTAAAAGAGACAAGGTGCAACAACACATCATCATCAAACAATGCCACCTTAGATTATCTGAGAGTATCTGGAAGATCGCTAATGTAAATTAAAAAGAGTATAGGGCCAAGGATTGAACCTTCAGGAACAGCTGAGGTTACAGAATAGGAAGAAGAGTGCTGTCCATCAAGGACAACTTTTATACTACGATTGGAAAGAATGGATTCAATAATCTTAAAGATGTTTCCAAATACACCATAAGAAGAAAGCTTATGGAGAAGACCAGCACGCCAAACTTTATCAAAAGCTTTAGAAATGTCAAGTGCGATAGCCTTAACCTCTCTACCTTTATTTAATACACGATAGAACCTATCGGTTATTACTGTTAGCTAATCAGCTGTAGAACGAGAAGATCAAAATCCATATCGATGATCAGAAAGTAGGTTATGAGATACAAGATGAGAGATTAGTGTTTGTTAATTAAAAAATCAAAAACCTTGCTTATGATATGAAGAAGACTAATTGGACAGTAGTTAGATGAATCGGATCGCTCTCCAGAATTTTGAAAAATAGGGATAACAGATGCTACTTTCCAGCAGGCTGGAAAACAAGACTCTGATAAGCACTTGTTGAATAGTTTTGAAAGGATAGACGACAGCTCCGGAGAACACTTCTGCAAGACTATAACAAGTTTGTTGTCCGAGTGGCAAGCTGTAGAAAAGTCTAAGCAGGAATTCACTTTTGATACAGAAGTTGGAGTGATATGGATGTCAAGCAATGGATCAACCTGTTTGACGGCTATATTAGGTAGAACGCAACTAGTTGAGTCAAGCGATGATATTGATGAAAAGTTCTTAGCAAACAATTCAGCTTTGTCTTTAGGTGAGGTGACAAAGTCTGAACCATACAAAAGAGGTGGAATTACAGACTTTCCCTTATTATTGATACCATTAAAGATTCTCCAGAAGTCACGAGAGCCTAACTTTTGTGATAAAATACCAGATTTCATGATCTGAGAATAGCGGGCTTTGACGTTAGACAAAACCTTTTTACAATGGTTCCTAGAAGTAATAAACGACGTCTGTTTTCTGGAGAATTGTTTTGCTGATAGATATGGAAGTAATGGTTTCGAACTTGTTTTTTTTCTTTCTTTTACTTTTTATTTCTTTCGTATTCTCATATTATTTTGTTTTACTTAAATGTTTTTATATCTGTATAAATCAGTTTCCTTTTTGCAGTATTATCTGCTATCAACGTTTTGCAATATAATATAGCAAAAATTTATTCAAAAATGCAATTTAAGTGAGACATGTCTAGATTTATTACATAAGAGTTATCAACAATCTAGAAGCTTATTGGTTGAAGCACTATTATTTTATCCGGTTAATAATATTTCTACATAATTTAAAGTAACACTAAAACAAACTTTGTTTTATTAATTTATTATTTATTAGTTACAGCACTTAAAAGTTATGTCTGTTAAAAATATTTTTCAAAAAGCCTGGTGCTGGGTACATCAACAAAATGGCCGATTTCATGGACCCAGTTAAACTGCTGAATTACCATTAAAACCGCTGAATTACCAGGTACCCGGCACATCTCTAAAACAGAGTATTATTAACAGAGTATTATTAACAGAGTATTATTAACAAAATTGTATGAACAGAAGTAGTATGAACAGAAATAGAACAGAGGATTGAAATCTGTGAGTGTAACACTGTGACTGGACTGCCACCATAAGATGTAGAAAAGTGAGAAATTATTTTTTTAGCAACAATAGTTAGGGTGATGATATTATTGATGTTTAACAATGGAATAATTTGTTTTTTGGAATGACATGAATAGTGTAGTTGTAATAATATAAATGAAAATAGTAAAAATAAATAAAATTTTAAAAAACCTTTTTAAAATTTTCTGAAATTTATTATTTTAATCAGACATCTATTTAATTTATGAACCAATTTTAGCCAATTTTTTACATAGATAAAATAAGTCTGTTAATTCATATGTTTAAATACATATAGTAGTTACGTAGTTAAAAGATTTAACGAATCTGAGTAAAAATCTAGCAAATAATTGTATAAATTATGTTTTTTTCTCTGGTCATAATTAATTATTTCCAAAAGTAAAATTTAAGTAGGAGGTTTTCAATGAAATATTTTAATATACTAAAATTGCATACAAAATTTAATGCTTTTAATTCTGTTATTAAACCCTTCAGTTTTTTGTTCAATATTAAAAAGCTCTCAACAGTTATGTAAAATGTTGTAAATAAAAAATTATTCAAAGTTGGCGATCATCAAGATTACACAAACTTGCAATGATTATAATTGAAACCAAATTTCTGCTGTATAAATATTGATAAGATATTTGATTGATACTTTTTTTGCATGTAAGCTCAACAAGTTTAGAAAATAAAAATTGTGAATTTTTATACAAATAAATTTGTATTAAAATAATTTTTTTTTCTATAAAAGCGCCAATATTTTTTTTGTTTAATGCATCCGACTTACACTATTATCATATTTACACTATTATCACGGGAACCAAAATATGTTTTGGCTCCTTTTAATAATTCAATTGTAAATAACTTATGGTCAGTTAAACTATAAGTCAAAAGTTGAATAATGTTTTATTCAACTTTTGACTTATAGTTTAACTGACCATAACATTATTTTTTTGCTGATTTTTGATACTTTAATTTATGAATAAATTATTTATTTTATAGGAGATAACTTATTGGTATCAAATGAACTTTACCTTAATGCTGTTTTTGTTGACGGTTATAAAAGAAAAAAAGCTTTTATAGCAACTCAGCGTCCATCTCAATCTACTGTCGCAGAGTTTTGGTATGTTCTAAAGAAACATAATGTTTCAACTATTGTCTACCTTACCTCTAGAAACGAAAAAAAAGAACCATCATATTATAAATTTTATCCATCAGATTGTGATTTGAAACTCGATGGTGTCACTGTACAATTGTTATCTGAAGAAAAGTTAGAGTCTGTAATTAAAAGAAACTTGTCTGTGTCTGTTGAGGTATAGTTTTGAGACATGTATGAATTTTTTTTTTTTTTTCGGAAAATAGCAATATTTACAAAATTTTATTTTTTTATTTTTTTTAAATAAGTTAAAGTCATAAATGATACATTATTAATTTACATTTTCTACTATATAGGTTAATTACATTCTTAGTTTTATACATTTATACATTCTTAATTATAGTCACTAAATATTTTTTCTAAATTATTGTAAATTATTCAACATTAGAAGTAATGATTTAGAATGAAACTATCATGTGCATGTTGGAGTTTAATTTTTGGTCTGATAATTGTTTACCAAGTTTTGACCTAATTTTACAGTTGATTACTGAAGTAACAAAATCACAGCAATATTTAGGAAATGATATTGTTGCAGTTGTTTGCAAGTAATACATTTTTGTTGAACAATTTAGTCTTTTTTACTTTTATTCAATATATATATATATATATATATATATATATATATATATATATATATATATATATATATATATATATATATATATATATATATATATATATTGATACAAACAGAGTTTAAAAAAAAAACACCTACCCCATTTGTTTAATAAACAAAATGGTGTTGCATATTTAAAAAATAGACACAGCAAACTAAGTAAAAACACTCTACTAATCTACTAATAGCTACATATTACTAAATTACAAATTTAATACACAGTATGATTTAATTTATAATAAAATATTATTAAAACAATTTTTTTTAGAAATGTAGTTTTTAATTTAAAAAGTACCAAGTGAAAAGTGCTCTCTGCTTTTCTCAAGTTATTAATTGATCAAACAATGCTTTGCACTTGAAGATATAGTTAAAGATATAGCAATAATAAATTAAAGTTATATGTGTATATATATATATATATATATATATATATATATATATATATATATTTATATATATATATATATATATATATATATATATATATATATATATATATATATATATATATATAAACTAGCAAAGATCCATTAAATGTACAATAATAAAATATTGACTGTGGTATTAAAAATTTTTAAATAATACACCTGTATGGAGTATAACAAATCATTATTTAAATAGGTAAGGTTTATATAGCCAGGTGTCATGCAAATAGAATAACAATTTTGTAAAAGAATACAACTGCAATAATAATAATATCATGACTATAAAAAAATTATAATGTAATTTACTAGTATGATATCATACTATGAGAAATGCAATAACACAATAGCAATAATATGATAACTAACCATAAAAACCCATTTTGTTATTTTATTCCATTGATAGATATGTTATATAATGTTAAACAATTGTAATATTAATGTTAGTAAACAAAGTTGCGCTAACAGTTAATGTGTTACATGCGTTTATTTTTTCTAAACTGTTGACTAATGATCAATAAAGTAAACTTCAAATAATGAAAGCTTACTAAATTAAAACCATGTTTCAACTCAACTAACTACACAAGGTAACTTCTCAAGGTAGAGTCGAAAAAAAGGAGAAAAAGCATACAACAGACAATGTATATAATGCTCCTAATTAAAATATCAAAGATACAGTACATTACAGTACCAGTTTCGATTAACAATTGACAGGTAAAACTAAAGAGAAAAAGAGAAAAAAAGAATACAATAAAAATTAGACATGTTTAAATTTATAAAGATAATAAAACTTCACGAAAAAAATAAAATAACAACTAAAATAAAATAAATAATTCTTTTAAATAAATAAGACTTTCTATTTGAAGAAGATTTTAAAGATACTGAATAAAGGTTTGTATATACAGTGTATATACAAACCTTTATTCAGTATCTAATTCACAATGTAAAAACTTATTAATTCATTCTGTGAAGAATTAAAAATATAAGATGCATTCTTTGCACAGCTTTTAAGATAAAGTTTAAGTACTTTATCCCTACTTCTGATTCTGTAGTTTAAAATGTCAATAAAATTACCTACTCCACCCACTAAAGAATATTTGCCAATGACCATTACAATAACCTCTGAAATTTATATTATGTTGGCCTAAAAAATGATTGAGTCAACAATTGGACGCAACTTCTCATAATTTAAAACAATCTCCTTTTCATATTCTTTATTAAAATATCTATAATTTGAATATCAGCCGAATATACGGGCCAGATAAGTCGCAAGATTTCTTGACTAACTTAGTCCGAAGTTACACTTCCAAAAAAAAACAAGCCGCTTCTTGACAGACGGTTATACAAGCACGACGCGGGGCTATTGCGTGCGCATATCCTTATCATAGTTTATTAGGTATTGCTTTTTAGACCAAAAAAATAGAGATTTCATTTAATTTCAAAAATCTCAAAAATATATAACATATTTCATAAGCCTGATCGTTATTTAGTTTAGTAAAAAAGATGTTAGTTTAGTAAAAAAGATGTTAAGCGCATTGACTAACCTTTTTAACAAGACTAACCTTCAACCCGCCCTCTGATATATATATATATATATATATATATATATATATATATATATATATATATATATATATATATATATATATATATATATATATATATATATATATATATATATATATATATATATAGTATATATATATATATGTATATATATATATATATATATATATATATATATATATATATATATATATATATCTTATATATATATATATCTATCTTATATATATATATATATATATATATATATATATATATATATATGTATATATATATATATATATTTATTTATTTATAATATATATATATTTATTTATAATATATATATATATATATGTTTTTAATGTTTCCATATGACTTTAGCAACGTATTTAGTCGCTCTGGTATTTTTATTTCGTGTTTTAATGCAATTGAACAGTTGCAAATCGAAGGGCTAGTTGATATATTTCAGGTGGTGCGACGAACTCAATTAGCGCATCCTCATTTTGTTCAAACTTTAGTAAGTCTGTCTATTTTAATAAGCCTTTATATTTTTTGCCTAATAAATATTTTATTTTTTTACTTAAGAAATAGTTTTGTTTTATTTTTAAATATATTTTACTAACAAAATAATTATTTTTCAGTCTCAATACGAATTCGTTTACAAGTTGATAAACAATTATTTGGAAACATTTTCCTATTACTTAAATCTTACATGAACTATTCAGAAAGAAAAACGTTCCAAAAGTTTGTTATATAAAGATTACAAATTATTTTTTTTTTCAAACTTTTTTAAGAGATTTTTTTTGTTTTGTTTTAAAATTATAAATATTTTTCTGCTAATTTTTATGTATTTTTTATTAAAGAGATTTTTTTAAGACATAAAGAAAAGTTTCTTATATATGATTTTCACAACTATATGTATATTTTGTTATATATAATATATTTTTTTAAATGAGATAAAAAACTGTTAATATATTTTGTTCATATTTTAGAAAGATGTTGTTTTTTTTATTTTTGTTTTTTATAAACAATTTTTTATGATATTAAAAATATATGACTTTATTGTTAAAAATATAAATATAAGAATATTAATTAAATTTTTTAATAGTTAACTTACTTAAAACCAAATTTCATTTCAAAGCTATAACACAACCATACTCAGATTTGATGTAATCAAGTAAAAAGTAATAAGGCACCTGCCCTGTGTGAGGGGAACGAGTTATTTGAGTACATACAGATGACTCGGCACCATCCAAGCCTATACAACGAATATTTTAAAATGAAATTATTAGATGCAAAATTTAAAAGTTTTTAAAAAAAGCCATCTAACCAAAAAAATTAAAAGTAATTGCAGTTCATTGCACATAAAAATTTCAAGTAGGGAAAAGCGGGGCAACATGGCGAGTGGGGCAAGATGGGTTTTCATATAACAACTTAACAAAAATTCTTAAAATTGGGTGAAAATGAAATTGTATTTGAATTTTGTATTTTAAAACACCAATTGGTTTTTTGAAATATTATTAACGCAATTTTATACGCATAAGTATACTTTTTTCGCTTAAAAAAAAATATCTCACTTTCGGTTTCTCATAATGGATGGTGTCCTTCAAGTTTAACTTTTTTAGAAGTAGTTTTTTGCAATTTGTGTTTACTTTTTGTTACTTTATTTAGAGATATTGGTAGGTTTTAAAATTTTTTAAAATTGGAGGTAAAAATAGCATAATAAGTCATCTTGCCCCGGTCACGTGATCAGATGACAAATTTATGAACTTTTTATTTTAATATTTATTTCAAATTGTTATATTTGCAAACAGAAAATTCATGCAGCCAATGAAGGATTTTAATAACATAAACATACTCAGAAAGTATTATTACTTCACGACTGATAGTTTTGCAATAACTCAGGGTTTTCAAAACGTTCGCCATGTTGCCCCGCTTTCCCCTATAGTATATAGATGTTTGTTAAAAAACGCTACATAAATCATTTTTTAATATAAACTAATTTTTTTTTAACTTTGTTGCGTAGGGTGGTTTGGCGCTTAACCATCCATACTTTCTAATGTGTATTACACTTGATTTTTGTTAACTAGTTTTTTTTTTTTTTTTAGTTAAGAGCCGCTTACTGTAAGAATCATGCAGAGCATGATAGTGACCCTCTTCAAAATGGTTTTTTTTTTTAAATGTTGTTGCTATTTATACTAAAAAGCCAAAATATTTTTCAAAAAATGCTTATTTATTCTTTAGATATTGAACGTTAAAGTTAGATTTTTTTGAAATGCTGATTAATGGTGTTAAGCATTTTTAAACTTAAAATTAGTACGAAGTCAATGCTTTCCCATGGTTATTTTATTATTATATACTAGTTATTTAGTATTAGTTGGTGTAACTGATGTGAGCCAGTGAGTGTGGTGTTAAGACTATGACAGCCTTGATTGCAGATCATCCAGTAATCAAGACCTGTTTTAAAAGTATTCCTTAAATTGGTTAATTTATTAAATAAAAAGTTTTCATGCCAAGCTTAGTAATTTTTCTGACATATTTAAAGTGGTTACCTCTCGTTTTAGTTTGTTGAAAAATAATTTTTTTGATTGTTTTTTTAAACTGGTACTGCAAACTCTAACATTTGTCGCAGAAAAAAAACAAAGTATTATCAGGAGTCTAATATCTATAACAAAAAAGGCTTTTTCTTATCTGACTTAATTTTAGTTAGCCTTGCCTACACATTTTATTACATGATTTTTCCATTTCAGATTGCTTAAGAAAATTACTCCAAGTAATTTTTATTTTTTGTTATGTTTAACTTTTGTTTATAGGGTTACCATACATTTTGAAATACTAAATTTTACAAGCCAGTCTTGAGTCTACTTAAATGCTAAATTGAGATCTGATTGCAAAGAAAGAGTTGATGCACAGGAAGCATTTCATTCAAAATTTTGGTGTCATCGATATACATCTTGGCTATGCTTTTTAGAGTTACAGGCAATTTGTTTATTAATAGCACAAACAAGTGTTGTCCAATTATTGACCCCTGTTGCACACCACTGGCAATTTTTGCCAAAGAGGATACATTTACGTCAATCACAACTCTTTGTTTTCTTTCTTTTAAAAAGGCTTTATTCAATTTTAATGTCAGACCAGATATTCTTGAACTGTTGGTCTTAGCAACAATATTTTTAATTTAAGACTTAATAAATGATAAACTGTATATTGCAGACATATTGTTAGTCTAAATATCATGCTTCAAACCCAAAGTACGCAAAAATCAATAGTCCTAAAATATTTGTCATACTTTGTACTTCAGACTCCAGAGAACAAATAAATATTTTTCAAAAAATATTCCATTATTTATTTCAAATCATTATAGTTATCATTATAATTATCAAGTTTTAAAGCCAATAAGCAACAATCAAGTAAAGTATCTCTTGGAAAGTATGAGCTTTGTTATATTTTAAAAATTAAAAAAGCATGAGACTACATTTGGTCAATATTCATAAAATATTTTTCAGTCTTAAAAATTCAATATCAAGAGTAGCATTTAAAAAATACTTTTTTGAGTTTACTTTTAAGTACGAATAACATTAGCATACTAAAAAAAAAAATTAATTTTGAATAAGATCACTAATTTTTTTAATTTTTTAGTTTACAATTATTAGTTTTATTAGTTTACAAACTGAAAGAAGATCGAAATGATCTTGTCGCCAGAACCATATAAAATATATCATCCCAGTGGGCACAAGAAGGTTTTGGAAACGTTTTTTAATGGTCCCGCAAAAACGTTTTTAAAAAACGCTTTGTGAACGTTTTTTAATGAACCTACAAAAACGTTTTTTTATTGGTTTTTTGAACGTCCATATGATGCGGTGAACGGACATTTTTCTGAAAACGTTATTTATTGGTTTTTATTACGTCTGAGACGTTTTGTCGTTTTTATCATTTTTCTAACAACCTTTTTTTTAAGTATAAGTTATTTAAATAAATAACTTATGTTGTACAAAAAAAAAAAAACAATTCACAAATAAAAATTTAGGTCAACAGTCTAGATCCGGATAAATTACTAAAAGTTTTAGCATTTTGTGTTTATTTACAATTTAGGCATACAAAAACGTAATAAAGTAGTTTTTGTTGCTATTCTATTAAGCTATTTATTCAATTATTCTCCTTAAACAATCGCCTTTCAACTTATCGACTAAATCAAATTTTGCTGTTTGTGACACTAATGTTCCTAAAAAAGAAAAATACCATAGAAATCTTTCATGCATTTCACTAGCATGTAAAAAAAATGCGTCAAAATGTAAATTGAAAAAATAGAAATGAGTAATGGAAAATATCACACAGTATATCAAAGGACCAATATAAAAATTTTAAAAACTACCTATAATTACTCTACTCAATAAAGTTTTTTAAATATGGTCTAAATGATCTATTTCCATAAGTTCCAGCTTGCTTAAACGATGGTAGAATACATTTTGGCATTATTTTATCCAAAACATCATTAGCAGAGCTGAAAAAGACCTTAACGAATCATAAATAATTATTTAGTTTGATCACATTTTACTTTATTTAGGAAAACTTTATACATTAATGTTTAACAAGAATATAATAACAAGTAAAACTTTGCTTTATTACTTAAAATTATTTCACTTTCATCAAACCTTGTTATATCATTTATTTTATCATAATAAAATTATGAATCTTCAAACTCAGTCTTTTCCCCCAGGATATCCGCAGCAGATAAAGACTTTTTAAGACTTTAAGCATCATAGTTCCATATATATTGCAGATTGAGAACATATTTAAAAAAAAAGAAGTTCAAATTAAGTAAAATAATAATAAAAAACTGTTGTGGAAAACTGAAAATTAAATACAATAAACATTTTTTAAAAAAGGAAAAGACAATATTTAATAACATAGTTCCACTAATAGATTTAAAACTTGATGGCAGTTTATCATAACAATAAAGAAATTTTTTTTAACTTGTTGAAGAAATGTTTTATGTATTATCTATAATGTATTATTATGGATAATGTATTATTTAGCAACTTGTTAAAAATACATACACATTTTTAAATATTTCAAAAAACATTTATCATGTTTTATTTAGCATAAAATGTTGAATAAAAACAGATTAACTTACATTTTGCAAATTTTTGCACTTTAATACCAGGACTTTTTTCTCTAATGTGCAAACAATTGTGATGTTTCACTTATTGTTCAAAAATTGATATTTAAAAAAAATACAAAATTTGCACACTTCAATCTTATATATAAACTTACATTAAAGTATTTAGTTGAGAATATTAAATATAACACCAATTTTGAAAAATTATAAAAAAACTTGCATATATTAGCTAAACTTAAAAAAACAACCTGATTCTTGAAGTTTAGAATCTGAAGACTCTGAATCACTTTATGCGTGCATCTTACATCTCTTTAGTTCTCTAGTCAAGATTTAGGTTTGTCAATATTTATAACATTCTTTTTTTATTAGGTGAAAAATATACTTTTGTTTTTTTTAACTTAACATGCAGTCGCTTTCTTAATTTCTTTCTAATAGATGATTGTAAAGTACTGAGTAAAGTCTTCCAGTGAGGCTATAAAAAGTCATGGTTCAATATTATATACACAAATTTATTTCTACTAAAAGTTTTACTTGTAAATATAATGTAGAGCAATTGCTAACTGGAGTAGAAATAATCTAGATAGGAATAGCTTTATACATTTATTAAAAGATATATTTATGAAATTATTGTAACATAAACTTACTTCATGTTAGATTGTCATTGTAGCTATACTTGCATCTTTGTTACTCATAATTGAGAATGGTAGGTAAACATTTTTCAGT